CTGGTGCCGTGTCACATATAGAAATTTTTTGATCTTTGCAACCATAGTAAAACAAAGACGTGTATTTTTGATATTTATTTTATGTATTTAAATGCCATTTAACAAAGAAAAATCAACCAAAAAAATGAGTTCATGTGTCACCTCTGACACGCGTGTCATAGGCTCGCCATCACTGCACTAAAACGACCAGTAACGCCGCCCAGATGTCCTGCAGGTTCAGGCCATTCGTACAACGAAGCTGCTTCCCCCAAACGTAGACGAGGTTCCTACGAAACGTGACTGACTGTGGGGAGACCCCGACTGTTCAGAGGAGCCTCCGACAACGCGCTCACCCTTTGACCTTTATCCCCGAGAGGCCCGTGTCTTCCCCCGACAACAGTCCCCCGGCGGCCTCGCCACGCTCTGTGGTTGCTGTGGGGGCAGCTGAGCTGAGGGGCCGGAATCGGGGTGTGGAAGCCGCTGGTGGGATCTCTGCAGCAGAAATAGGTTTCAGTCCACCTGCTGTTTCCCGCCCGCCGTGCCCTGGGCCGGAGCCTGGTGCTGCCCGTGGAGCGAGGTGGTGCTGAGTGAATGTGTTACTGTGACAGGAGAAGCAGACCCGGTAGGACTTGGGGAGCTGGCCCAGTGATGGCAGTGACGGCGCCAGGGACACTTCGCAGACATTGTGTCGTGTGCAGCCCAGCTGCCCGGCACGGTGCACTGGGAGCCTGCACCTGCTCAGCGTCTGGGCATAAAGAATGCGACTGGTGACAGGACCCGGGCAATCCACAGCTCACTGAAAAGCCACCAGGACGAAACCCAGCGCCTGTCACAGAACGACATCGTCCACGACACTTCCTCCACGCTGTGCAGCAGACAGCACAGTACACCACTCAGAGCACACCGACCCCGTCCAGCAAACACTAGACGCTCACCTGAGAAGACCCCAAGGTCGGAAGTGACACCTACACTTAAAGCAGGTGTTAAACACACGGCAAAAGACTTAAGTTAGAACCATAAACAAGGGATGTCAACGGAGAAATGAAAATAAATAAAACAAAATGGAAATTCTGAAACTGAAGATCCATATTTCATATTAAAAAAAAACTTTGCTGGGTGAGCTTAGCAACAGATAGAATTGGGAGAAGGGTGACTAAACTTAAAGACGGGTGAAGGGAAATCATTTAATCTGTAAAACAGAGGAAAGTTCACAGCAGGATAATTACTGCCGGGGAACATCGAGCACTTTAACGCGCTGTACCTGGAGTTTAGAAGAAAAAGGGAGTAACAATGGGGCAGGACAATATTTGAAAAATTGTTGGTTATAAATGAACCAATTTTGGTGGGAAAATATAGCTCCCAAGAGCGCCACACGCCTCGCCTGGATGCTGCTCAGCACGGCCATTCGCTGGGACGGGACGTTCTAAACTGGGTTTCCCACGAGCTCTGTCGCTCTGCAGATTTGAGAGGTGAAAAATGAGAGCAGTGAGGAGCATGTGTTCCGTGCGACCCCGTTTCAGGGGAGATGACACAGAGTTCCGTTTCAGGAAAGCGTAAGCGAGCTCAGCGATTTGCTTAAGAGCTTAATTGTGTTTCAGTGCATAGCGGCCCCAGCGCAGAATACGCAAAGTGCTGTTGCATAACGTGTCAAAGCTGGATGCAGGGGAAGGACGGGTCGCTGGCACATTTCAACACAGAAAATGGGTCTCAGATTCGACCCCTCCAAACCTGCATCACCTGGAGACCACGGGAGGGAGCACAACAGCAGAGTGTGTCACACTCAGTCGCAGGAGAGACAGATGGTGAAGTGTGCCCCCGCCCCCCCCCCACACACACACACACTGGAAACCTTCTGGGGCTTTCCATTTCTTCTCACTTGTTCTCATAGGTGCAAATCCCGGGGATACATATTTTCTGTGGAAAAGGGGTTCGCTGGTGATGTTTTCATTTCCACAACCGTTTGCCGTAACCATATATTCCATACCCCACCCGGTCAGCTCCCACACGGCAAGAGTGTCTTCTCAGAGTCTCTCAGAAGCATTAGGCCCCGACAGGCAGGTTCAATAAATTGTTAAAAGAAGGAGGAGTTCATGAGTCTCAAAACAAAAACCTCAAAATTCTTAAACATCAAAGAATTTCTATTTATAATTTATCTTCATCACTTTTTAAAAATAGATTTTTATTGATTTCAGAAAGGAAGGGAGAGGGAGAGAAAAAATAAAAACATCAGTGATGAGAGAGAATAATTGATGGGCTGCCTCCTGCACGGCCCACACTGGGGATCGAGCCCACAACCCAGGCTGGTGCCCTGATGGGGAATGGAACTGTGACCTCCTGGTTCATGGGTCGATACTCAACTACTGAGCCATGCCAGCCAGGCCCTGTTATCCTATATAATAAAAGCCTAATATGCAAATCGACCGAACAGCAGAACGACCGGTTGCTATGACACGCACTGACCACCAGGGGTCAGACCCTCAACACAGGAGCTGCCCACAGGCCCCAGGCCAGCCAGTGTGGGTGCCAGCAGGGACTCCTGATCAACCCCTCCAGTAGCCCTGCAGATCAGCCCTAATCGCCAGCCAGGCCAAGGGACCCTACCCGTGCACAAATTTCATGCACCGGGCCCCTAGTCATTTAGTAATGACCTCATCCATTGCTCTGATGCCCTTCTGTCTCCCGCACTCACTGCCTCAGGGATGTCACTCTGTGTCTTTGCTCCATGTCCCTTGCAGCTGTGTCCTGTGGGAACCCTGGCACCCCCACCAATGGCATGATCGTCAGCAGCGACGGCATCCTGTTCTCCAGCTCCGTGGTCTACGCCTGCTGGGAGGGCTACCGGACCTCAGGGCTGACCACCCGGCACTGCACCGCCAATGGGACCTGGACCGGCACCGCTCCCGACTGCACAAGTCAGTAACTGCCCGTCAAGGGCAACTCAAGGGCAGGGCCATGATATGCACTTGACTGGGAGCAACAGGTTTATGTTTCCAAGTGCTGTAGTGTGGTCCTAAAACAGAGAAAAAAGACACACAGTGGTTTGATGTTTTGACTTCATGTATTTGACACTTTTAGATTCTTTCCTTTCTTGTTTATATGGTTGAAACTATGTTAAGTGGCCAGTTGGGCTGGACATTGTCCAACTGAGGCCACAAAATGTCAAGGCTTGTTCTCTCTGTGGACCACCGAGTCTGCAGGGAAGGAGGAAGGAGTAGGGCCCTCTGGTCACAGACTGTCTCTCTCCTTGGCTTTGTGGTGAGATCACACCCCTGCCTGGTCAGGGTCAGGGTCAGGGCCAGAGTTAGGGTTCAACATTAGTGTTCCAGCAGGACCAGCAAGGGTGCACCCTGGCTGGCACTCCAGGCAGGACTGAGCTGGACCATGGTGGGTGGGTATAGCAGGGCATGGCACTGTGCCCTTCTCCAGCCTTGCACCAGGGTCAGGGTCAGGGTCAGGGTCAGGGTCAGGATCAGGGTTAGGGTTAGTGTATAGCATTAGGGTTAGGGTAAGGGCTAGGGTTAGGATTAGTGTTAGGGTCAGGGTCAGGGTCAGGGTCAGGATCAGGGTTAGGGTTAGTGTATAGCATTAGGGTTAGGGTAAGGGCTAGGGTTAGGATTAGTGTTAGGGTCAGGGTCAGGGTCAGGGTCAGGATCAGGGTTAGGGTTAGTGTATAGCATTAGGGTTAGGGTAAGGGCTAGGGTTAGGATTAGGGTTAGGGTCAGGGAGCGACAGGATGGCATAGATTCAGCACAACCAGGCACCGATGGGATAGAAATCAGCGCCTCCAAACACTGGTCCGTGGAATGGCCAGAGAACATCCCTGCTGTGACCACTCATGGAGGAGTCAGTCTGAGTGGAACTGAGGGAGGGGCTGTGCAGAAGCCGGTTCTAATTGATCCCATGCTCATCGTGTTTCTCGGCTTCGGCTTTGTTACGGCATCTCAGTCATCAGCTGTGGAGATCCGGGCACACCAGCCAACGGCATCCAGTTCGGCACCGACTTCACCTTCAACAAGACCGTGAGCTACCAGTGCAGCCCCGGCCACGTCCTGGAGCCGGCCGCGGGGGCCACGCTCCGCTGCTTGGGGGACGGCGCCTGGAGCCACAGCAGACCTGTCTGCAGAGGTGGGTCCCTGTGCGTGGGGAGTGTCACCCGGGGAAGTGCTTGTGGAATTGCACTTCACTCTGTCTTGCATGAGCGTAGTCCCTCTATGCACTAGGAATGCTTATAAACAAATTTGCAAAAGACAGATGACATGATTTTCTACTTTTTTTCCCCCTTTTTTGCAAAATGATTGGAAAACATTTATGATACTAAAATGTATACACCCCACTGTTAAAAATCAAAGTAGCGAGTCACTGGCGTAGTTCCTGAGCTTGTTTCACGGAAAGACTAATTGGATGGGAGTGTTCCTTCGTCCGTGCCGAGTGTGTACCGAGCTCACGTCACCTCCAATCACTCTCCTGACGGTGCGCTGGCGTCGCTTCTCTGTCCTTGATCTAAATTAACGAAGAGAGATTAGGGAAAGGTTGTATCGATCGGATGTACTGTCTCCCTCAATCATTCTTTTATTAAAACTTAAACGACTGCATGTAGGCGTCCCCTGAAATTCAGGTCATGTTAAAGCGTGGATCTTGCGGGCGTGCAGCTATGGGGTTGGTCTGGCTGGTTTCACCTGTGTCCTCTCCTCCTGGGCAGCCGTCCTGTGCAGCCCGCCGCCCCCCGTCCCGCACGGAGACGTGGAGGGCACCGACTTCCGCTGGGGCGCCAGCGTCAGCTACAGCTGCTCGGCCGGCTACCAGCTGTCGCACCCCGCCATCCTGTCCTGCGAGGGCCCGGGTGTGTGGAAGGGGGAGACGCCCCAGTGCCTGCGTAAGTACCCCCACAACCCTCCCCTGTGGGTCCCCTTTGCATCCACAGGGGCGTGAGCACCTGGGGTGACGATGGAGGATGCGGTCCTGTGTCCCTGATGACCAGGCGGGGACAGTGCAATGTTCAAGTGGAGCTGCCACTGCCCAAGGGCAGATTCTGCCCTTCATTTATTTTTTAAAATATATTTTCATGATGTCAGAGAGGAGGGGAGAGGGAGAGAGAGAAACATCAATGATGAGAGAGAATCATGGACCGGCTGCCTCCTGCACGCCCCACACTGGGGATGGAGCCTGCAACCCAAGCATGTGCCCTGACCAGAATTGAACCAGAACCTCCTGGTTCATAGGTTGGCGCTGAGCCCCTGAGCCACGCAGCCGGGCGGATTCTGTCCTGTAGCCGCTTATTGACCTGATGGTTGTACCCGAAGGCAGAGCAGAGCGGGGTGAGGGTCGCGGTCACTTGGCCCAGGGCACCTCCGCGCTGACCCCGTGCTGTCCCGCCAGCTGTGTTCTGTGGAGACCCGGGCACCCCCGCGGAGGGCCGGCTCAGCGGCAAGAGCTTCACCTACAAGTCTGAGGTCTCCTTCCAGTGCCGGCCGCCCTTCGTCCTGGTGGGCTCTCCCCGGAGGACCTGCCAGGCCGACGGTGCATGGAGCGGCGTGCAGCCCACCTGCATCGGTAAGGACTGCGCTGCTCTCGGGCATTTGGGGGTGAGGACATGGCGGGGGTCATTTGTGAGGGCAGTGTCTCCTGGATCGTGCCCTTTGGTTCCCTGGGTAGAGACCCACAGGGTAGGTGGCACCTCTGTTAAATCGTGCAAATGAACTGGGAGCCCCCGTCCGCGCTGTGCTGTTAGCCCGGCCGGGCTCTCTTGCCCAGTCACCGCCCCTGGCCCATCACCTGGCAGTGGCCTTCCTAGGGGACCCCAGCTTCCCGGTAGGTGTCAGGTTCCGGTTCTGGAAGCAACCGCAGCCCGGAGCCAGCCACGCCCTTGCTCTCCCGTCCCAGCGCCTGCCTATCTCCCCACTGAGTGTCCGTGGAACCCGCTGGGCTGTGAGCGATGACAGCCAGGGTCACGTGGGCACTCAGGTCCTGGTGACCTCAGGGAATGGGAGCGAAACTTGCAACAGAAGAGACCTTCTACGCGCCCCCATCCCCGGTGTGGGGTGACCCGCCGCATGGGCAGGCTGGGGTAGAGATGACATTTGTTCCTGTGAGCGACATGGACGCCAGCCCCTGCCTCCCCACTCGAGTCACCGCCATAGGCACAGGGCGTGGCCGGGGGCACCCGCTGCCGGGGACAGGCTGCTGCCTGCGGGTCGTGGGAGCAGCTCCTGATCCACAGTCTCGGTCGTTCTCTCGGAAACGGACCGACATCTACTTAGAAGCGACGGCTGAGGCCCCCTCCCCCAGCAGGCTCACTGCCCTTCGCTTCCCGTGCTGCTGAACACATGCTTCTCCCCCGAGGCGGTGCCGTCTGAAAACACTTTTTTAAAGT